CTCCATTGCGAACATGGTTATGGATACCAGTTCCTTTTCGATCACTTGCTTTTTATGATCGATATTTATTTAGTAAAAAATGCTTTCAATGTAAGAAAAAAGTCCATTCAATGACAAATAATGAAAATATTAATAAAAATGAAACTTATATTAGTGATATTGAAGAATATCTATAGGATACATTATCATTGGATCCATTCACTTTACTCGTACATTTGCCGATGAATGAATGTTAATCAAGCAAAAAATATTTTAAATGAATCTTCTTTAAAAAATTTGTTCATTAATAAATACGATTATTAACTAATATAATTTTATTGTTCTCATTCTTATTTATTTAGAAAAACGAATGAATAAAAAAAAAGTTTAATAATAAATGAAAAAAATTATAATAGAAAAATCTATCCAACAAAATGTATGCTAATCATTTTTTCAGTTATATCCTTTTCTCTCTTGTTTCACATTTATGAGATTTTATTGAAGATATCTAAATTTTTCGAATAAAATTTTTTTTCTAATCCAATCACAAATCGATTAGTGAACACTTCTACGAACTTAAACAATGAATATTACCTCTCAAATTGACATTTCGCTCCGAAATTTCCTATGATCTAAATGTATGATGAATATTCATTATAGTTTTCATTTTATGGTAAAAACATATTATTGTTGTTACACCAACTACATCACTTTTTAAAGTACCACACAAGAGCCCCGATGTAGAGCACGATATCGATACAATAATGAAGCTGACTATGGTTTCGATTTTTATCCAGAACTACTTGATTACATCCATTATGAGTCAAACGATTTGGATAGAAGAAATCGATATAGTGAAACAACTTCGTCAGTTAAAGAACGACAATTACTTTGGTACCCGTCAATCAACAGCACAAGATTTACATAAAAATGAACACTTAAATATTGACGATAGTTAAAAGCCAAAAGACTATGGCTAATGAAGAAATTTTGATAAACAATTATATCAAGGATATGCAAAATGACTGCCATATGTTCTGAAAAAAAAAGAAACAGCTAATAGTACAAGTGTAAAAGCTTCGACATAGATTCTTGAGAGTGTGAGTGTAACTTAATATGAGTTTCAGCAAATATTGACTCTTTTCTCATTTATGTTAGAGATCAACTTTAAATGTTTTCATAAGAATTATTTTAGTACGAGTAAATTTATACATCTGAACCAGACTTGCCAAACCTCCTGATTTTTGGACTTTTCTCCTGCTTTTTAGATTTTTTCCTACTTGGTTGATTTCGATACTTTGAACCAGTAAGAGACTTAAAAGAAAAAAGAGAACTATCGCAGTATTTAATAGTTATAGTAACCAATAAGAAAATACTTGCTTTTATTTCATTTTTCTCTAAAAAACATCATCAATTACATGGCCTATTTGCATATAAAGTATTTGTTTTACTGGAGATAGCAGAAAAGTATATGTTATTGTCTAAAAGATAAGATCTTGAAAATCAGAGAAGAGACCGATAGACAAAATTTTAAATGACCAGGCAAGATGTCTTTCGTCTGGAAAGAATTTTATATTTCTTGGAAATCATGTCGGATCCTTTTTAGCTCAGAATAGGACACTACCTTGAATAACCTAGCAAGATTCCTACGTTTCATTTTCATTATTAGTATGGAGTTGCTATGGGCTCATTTGCACTGCTATTTTTTTGTCAAAGTTTGATAGGAATTACAAACATGAAAAGAATGAATAGACCTATAACACAACAAAAAAAAAACGAAGGCATCAATAAAAAAGAAGCAGAAGTAATAGCCATTTCAACAAAAATGTCCATTTAATAGATTAAAGTCTTAAGAAGGACACAACTTCATTTGTTAAGAGTTAACTTATCTTGTTTTTTTCATAGCATATTAATGGTATATAAAACACTCATTGAAAAAATGAGCGAAGAAGCATGTGTAAGCGATTCATATAGTGATGTAAGAAACAAAGAATGATTGTCTTTTTTCCAACTCTGGTAAGAGTCTTTTTACCATTCTATTAATGTATTTAAATACTTTTGCTCGAACTTCACAATGAAAAAGAATTTTGACTGATAGATCACAATAAAAACGAATCTGGAAAAAATGGAGATAAGAATATTAACTGGTCACATGTATATAACAGATATAACTAAAAAAAAATGTTTTCGTGATTCTTCTATATAGCAGAAAAACATTACTTGTGATTAAACTCAAGTGAAAATAATATCATTTGTATTAAATTGATATGAAAGAGATAAAAGTGCTTATGTGAGCGAAAATTTGAATTTTCTACAAGAAAGTCATCTAATGTTCTCTTAACTTCAAATAGAAAACCTCCTGATTTATAAAAGAAATTCTCCTGGTAAACTCTTGTTTTTTAATAAAAAAACTCCTAATTTCCGAAATTTCAATTTGACAAGCCTGGACATCACAAAGGCTCAAATAATGAGGTGAGTGGAAGGACTGGTGCATTGAGTTACTTATTCCTCACTTGAGTCTCTGCGGCTGTGTCACGAGTTATCGTTAATAATTCATTTTTTTAAGAAAATTTGACTCTTTTATTCTTGAGATTAGAGATATTGCACACTGTCATTTACGAGATCTAACATACATACAGGTATATTTTATTATAAAACTTAAGAAATAAAAATTTATCAAAACAGATTTAGAAAATATTTTTGCATCTATCTAATAATTAAATGGTTCCGATTCTATTGACAGTTTCAAACAGTTTTTTTCTACGAATTCAATTCGATTCTTGGTTTCAGTTCTTTTGAAATTACTGAACTTTAGTGACTACACTTTTTTTTTCATATGTAACACATTCGATATGATTTCATGTACCAAATATTTGTGATTTTTAAAATGAAATATTTTTAATCGAAACACGTGATAACATTATTCTGGTTGTTATTTGACTGCATGGGCACTTATATATTCAAGCTAACAAAATAAGATTAAAAAAAATACTCTACAAATACATATCCAGCCTATCCATAGTTTACAAAGGAAGATACTATTTCATATACATGTTAACCAATAAACAATTCAGTCAATATATGGGTACCCTAGTCTCTCTGTTTTTCTTTCTCTTTCGTCTAACATGTTTTTATCTGTGGTGTTCGCTTTTTTTTTGCTGACATTTACATCAGTCAATGCTTCCTTCTCTCCTGTCGTGACAACTGGCATATTTCTACATTGAAGAAAAGAACACAAAAACATTTTAGGTATTCAGTATAGATAAAAACTTGATCTTCACTTACGTTTTTTTTTCTTAATCCTTTCTACATATAATATGATGATGATTAGTAAACGGTTCTTCTTTATATCTTCCATTGCTTCATGCTATTGTGTTTTTTTGCTTCCAATATTGACTCTGTTGTTGTGATTGACGAAAGTAGAACGAGGAAAAACAAAGTAAGAGTCCTATTGAGATGAAAATTATTATTTCTCATACTATTCGTAATCAAAATAAAGATTCATTAGAGATACATTCTCAATGTTGATCTATCGTTTATGAAGTTTTTCATTTTATAAATTTTTCTGACAAATCTTTAAATTGAAATTAATACACACATATGAGGGTGTCATTTTTTCTGTTAATTTAAAATAAATTTTAATTTAACCCTTTGATGGCGAAGCCCGTGAATTTACAGTTTCAAATGTGGAATAGACGCCAAAGCTAAAATATAGTAAAAAAAACAGGTCTCTTTAATATTTGTTGTGTTCTAAAATAGATGCCACTGATAACAGTATCGAATTTACAGTTCTGATAAGCATGTGGATGTGGGTTTTCTCTTCATCTATACATCCTGTATAAGTATGATGTTGAGTCTTATCATGAAGTAATTTTCTACCTGATGACTGTCGTAGATTCTATATTTTATTGACAACAGATTTGAATCCTTGTTGTGAGATTTAGTCATGCCTTTGTTTACATTATGTATACAAAATGAATCATTTAATTTAAAGAATATAATTGAATTGTAACTTTAATGTACGATTTCCAAAAAAAGAAGTAAAATAAATCAAAGAGAAAGAAGAGAATAAGGAACAAAAAAAGAAAACACTCGTAAGTGTTTCAACGACACAAAAGAAACGAAAACAGAGAAGCAGAAGAAAAAGAGTGCGTGTGTGCGAAAGAGAGGGGAAGGGATTTTGGGTGTTCTTTTCTTGTATGCAAATACTTTATTTCACTAGATAATATCTGTTTTAAGAGAAGTGATTCATGCTCATTTATGAATTGTTTTACCTGATTACTAGGGAAAAAACTAAGATGATTTTATGAAAATCATTCTAGAGAATAAAACTATATTATTATAGAAGAATGAGTGACCAAGATTCGTTGTGGATATAAATTCTAGTCTTCTTTGAATGTAAATCTCTCATGAAAGTTTACTAGTCATAATATATAGATTACGAGTTGAGACAAATAGACAGTGATAGTTCAATTAAGATAAAAAGGAATACGAAAAATAAAAATAATGAGTGAATACCAATAAAAAAAATAGAACGTCATTAAACAAATAGGTTTTGTTCGAAATGCAAAAATTAATAAAACAAATTATTTTTCTGTCGATCGATTATGTTGGAAACAATTTTTTCAAGATCTTTTTTTTTTAGTGTAAATCTGATTTTATCGGAAAGAATATTAGAACTAAACCAAAAAAAAACAAAGAGTTATTGCATACATATGATACTGTAGACAAAATATTCTAATAGTTATTCATGTAACAAATTCTTTCATATCAACTGACTCATCAAATAGTCGACAATCTAATCTAATTAGAACTTTTAGTTAGTCCTATGAATGGGTATTAAGATGATGAATTCAGATAGATTTTATTTATTCAATTATACTTCGATTTTCTCTTTCACGATTCACTATTTATTCTATTTTCAACAAAAATATTTTTATTTTCTTCTAGTAATACAACAGAATTCATCTATAGGATGATAAATATTAATAAAAAGGCATTTTTCAAGCTTAGAAAGGTAAAAGATAAAATATCCAGAGAAAATATTCCTACAGAAAAGAAACATTCATGAAAATAAATAAAAAAATAAAAAATATTGTGCATGTTATTCATAAGAGAAGCACATAGTACCAAAGAGACTATGTCATACAACGAGTACATAGCATAACAAAGAGAGCAATCAGAGAAATATGAAAAATTCTATTGAGAATACAGAGTAATCTGATAGTTTGTGTTTTGTTTGAATTAGAAGTTTATTTGAATACTGTTGAATAATTTAGAAAATATTAAAAAAAACACAATCTCGTTTTATTCATTTATCTAATATAAGAGAGAGAAATTTTCAATTTTAGATTTACAAATGTCTTTATTAATGATAAAAGAATGTTCAATATGTGAAAATGAATTAAACGAAACAGATGATTTGGTAATTACAAATTGTAATCATACATTTCATCGTCGTTGTGCTCAAGAACGTCTCGATAAGAAAAAAAGATCCGATTGTCATATTTGTCATCAAGGTTCGGCACTTGGCGATGCACTTTCTCGTTTAAATATAATCAATCAAGGAGAATGTTCAATATGTGAAAGTTTATGGAATTCAAAGGACGATTTGGTAATTACAGATTGTAATCATACATTTCATTATGGTTGTGCTCAAGATCGTCTTGATAAAAGAGGACGAGCCGATTGCCATGTTTGTCATAAAGAATCGGCTCTTGGCAATGCACTTTCTCTAAAGAACTCAGCAAGAAAAGGAGAATGTTCAATATGTGAAGATGAATGGAACTGGAAAGATGATATTGTAACTACAAATTGTAATCATACATTTCATCGTCGTTGTGCTCAAGATCGTCTTGATAAAAGAGGTCGAACTGATTGTCATGTTTGTCATCAAGATTCGGCTCTTGGTAATATACTATCTCGAAATACAACAACAACTATTAAGAAATCTACTGAACAAAATTCGAATCTAATAAAATCAGATAAAATTGTAAGTGAGTTTTTCTGTTTGAATTGAACTGAAAGAGAGTAATAAAAGAAGAAGATCGCCTGAAAATGTCTTAAAATTTCTATATCAATGGAAATATTGTTTGCATCAGTATTTTTCGAAAACATTCGTCAAGATCGGATGATAAAAAATAATCATCGAATAAAATTTATATCGACGATAGAGAATTAAAATTTTTAAAAACGATAAAAAAAGATTTGCTAAATTCTTGAACGTTAGATTTATTTTATACTTTCATAATAAAATTCAAAAATATGGTTTTTTAGAAAATCTGAGGAGCCCAACGCAGGCTTCTGACTAATAGATATATTGACAATGCAATAACTCAATAAGAATTCAATTTCTTTTAGAATTTTCACTAGAATTCAATGTAATATCTATGAGTTAAAAATACAAGTAACGCTCATCGATAGTCGATTTGCTTCATCCGAAACTGACGTAATAGTCTACAAATGGATATTCACCTATATCTGCCTATCTGTAACATAATAACCATATGATAATTATGGTCATATATGCCGTAGCTTCAGTCATTTTGACCATATTTATCACAGTTGGACTAATATTTTAACCATATTTACAGTATTTTTGGTTTCTCATGCTCTTTCTTTGGTCACTGACCAACGAGCTGACACGAGTGTCCAAAAATATGGTCTAAACGACCACGAGAATGCTTCAAGTGCCCAAAACGATGGTACACATGATCAAATATGTGGTTATTTATATCATCGATATGGTCGCTTGTACCATCACTATGAGCCTTTGCACCGTCGATGCGGTCACTTGCACCATAACTGTGAACCTTTGTATCATCGATACATTCATTTGTACCATGACTATGCTCATCTGTACCATCATTGTGGTCACTTGTACCACATGTTGCAGACAGTCAGTCAGACATAGGTGAATTTCCGTTTCCAGGCTCTATCCTCTCAGTCTAGGGAAATTGATATTGACAGAGAATATCTGATGAGTTTTCCTTGATAGATAAAAGATAAATACTCGAATTTGAATCTATTCCAAGTACATGATTACTATTATGATATATAGAAATATACAAGATTAGACTAATCAAGATCATATATCTAGGCAGAAAAGGAAGCGTATGCTGCTTCAACAGCAAGAGCTGAAAATACAATTGGAAGAAATGAAAACAATTGGCAATGTGCTGAATGTTCGGGCACAAATGAAATATCAACAAAACGATGTACATCTTGTGGAGAACCACGCTTCGCTGCATCTTCTATTTCAATTGTCCGGACACAACGACAAGAAGATGAAACAACAAAAGAATGCATTCCATTAACATCCTCGAATAGACGTCCGAAAAATGATGAAAACAAATCGTTAGATTCAAGAAATGAAGGTAAAGTTTGGAATTATTTCGTTTGTGAATTCATAAGCTCGGTATCGAATGGAAACTTTCATAATTATCCATAGAATGTTTAATTCTATTCCACGAAAGTAATCACAAGGAGTAATCATCTCATTACTTATTGAAAATAGCTTTGCATTCTAAAAGTTGATTATTTTGAGTTCTGTCAGTAGTTTTAGATCATACAGTTGGCAAGTTTATGACGATACTAATGAAGTCTGATAGTATGATTCAGGCTGTGCTAACGCTTAGGTAGTTCTATAATCCCGTTCATCTAGGATGATCCTCTTGCAAAGAAGGTATATCTAAGAAAGGTAAGAGTTACCATCAACCTTAACCATAGTAGTATGTGAGAATGAGGGTGACCCAAACAGCTACATATGTAGGACTAATTGAGAGTGTTTGTAAGTTTACCAATAACATAGCCTGAAAACATCAATAGAAATAAAAGTTCTCAATTTCAACAATATATAAATATTTTCAATAAATAATCGAGTACTTACTCTTTGCAATTACTTACATTGAATTGAATTGAATAGCCTGTTTGGTATGATAAGTCTTTTTCCTCAATAATGAATGTATGGGGTATTGTGAAATCTACGATCCGATCTGATAAAGATTGATATATGACCAGTATATAATTGACGAAAAAGTTGTTATGAAAATGTACTTAAATTTAATATCTATTCATAAAAAAATGTAATTGATATGTAACAAAATATTCGACTAATTTTTGGCGATATTGGAATTTTTGTTAGCTATTCGTTCAGTCTAGTATTATATTCTTTGACTATGTTCATTTCTATTGTAATTTATTCGTATGTAAATTGTTAATGTATTTATCCTAAAAACTGTATTTGTCAACTATCTCAAGTTCATCATGATGTTCAGGTACTCACCGTCAATAATCATTTGAAAATCCGCTGTATAACACAATATCTGTACATCTAATCGTCTATTTGCCATCATAGATACGTCATAGAAAGCCCTCCTTCCTGTTATGCCAATGCAGACGATCATTTAGAATATTATCATATGCTCGTTGCTGTCATAATTGATATATTCCTTCAAACATTATGTTCAGAAAAGTCCTTAATTTTCTGTTCATCGTATATTCACTCTTCATTAGATGTATTGTAACTGGTACTTGAAAATTATTTTCTGATGATTATAATCCCAACAGCATCCTCGAATAGCTATACAATTTCTTATTATGAAAAGAAAATGATAAATGAGCATTCTGCAAAAAAAAAATGTATCTTTATACATCGACTTCACAGATGTACTAACGTCAGCTAAAATGAAATGGGACATAATAATATTGCCAAGAACCATTCCTAGTAGACTCGAGTGTAATACTAATAGATGTTATGAGAAAACCAATTGAAAGAGATTATGATTAGAAAGAAACATTTTTTGACACATTGAAATTCGTCGAATCTGACTCTTTTCAGATAAGAAATTATCAATCTTATGTAATTTGACTTTAGGAAATTCTGATAATACTTTAAAAAATTTTGGAAGAAATACAATAATCGGCTAAAATTCGTTTTACTTTCATAGGAAAGTTATAAGACGAATACAATAGTCATATCGAACACGTTAAAGTATTCGCGTAAACAACCAACCTTAATAGAAACTATCATATCTGATCAACCTTAGTAAATCCTACATCAGCGACATGCAACGTCAGTGCCATCATCATATTAGTTTTTAAGCTCTATCACTAGGACTTTATTTAGAAAAGAATTTATATTATACAGGTATAGTTAGACGCTGCCGTCACATGGTTACGTTGTTTAATATGGAGAGCACGGACGGTTGCACTGCCTTGTAGTTTAAACGCAGTGCATATCTCTATCGTACACAAATATTTACATAGCGTTTCATCCGACATTGCTAGCAGAACAATAGGTTTTTTGTCATTGTACATTTCAATTATGAAAGTAAAGATCTCGATATCATTCGAATTTCTAATGATAACTCGATATTTTTAATTGAAAATCCAATTGAAGAGAATATTTCCAATATAGTGCTTAAATATAATTTACTTTCCAATATTCATTTTATAGAATTGATGGATGTTGATTATCCAACAATCATTAAATCTCCTTTTGGATCTGACAAAATCGATGAATCAAAATTTAATACAACATCAACAAAAGGTTTTCAATCGATCGAATCCAATGACGAAGAATATTCTTCAGAGTGTGAAGCTATTGT